CCCCAAAACCCCAAAACCCCAAAACCCCAAAACCCCAAAACCCCAAATTTACAAGCAGTCGCTGAGTTTTTATATATTTAGAATTATTTTTAAAACTTCTGAATGGAGTATGGAAATAGCAGCATTGAAGCTTTAAATTTACAATCCAAAGCTTCTAGTAAGTCTATGGCTAAGCCAGCAAGGTCAATATAACTTTTGGATCTAAAGGAAAGTCTGAGGAACAGACTGTGTCTACTTTAAACAACACAGCTTCCCAAAATTCTAATTCCAAAACAAATGAGAGTTCATGGAATAATGAATGTATTGAGTGAATACCGATTAACAAGGATACTATTTCAAAGGCGGCAAGAATGAAGATGCTCAAAAGTTTCCACCACACTATAAAGATCACTGGGTGCAAGCAAAGCAAATTGAAAGCGCAATGCTTAAAGGAGATAATCAATGATGAGAAATTCAAGGACCTAGTTAAGTTCAATCAGAAATCGAATTTCAGAGAAAAATTATTACTTAACAAAAGTACAAGTCCTAAAAGAAGGTAGTGCCATTTTTAAATAGTAATTTAGATTTAAAGCAGTTACCTCAAATTATAAAATTAAAGGGGTAGGATCAGGGTTTACATCTAGAGAAACAGAGTTACTGTCAACATGAATTATAAAACTTTAAAAAGGCCAAAATCAAAGATACTTCATATAAGAAACTCGACTGAAGAAAACCGTAATTTAGATAAAATTCAGCCCAGTGTTTCAACTATTTCTCATATAAAGCTAAATGAGCATGCCTTGAAATAATCTGAAGAAGCATTGGAGTAAAGAAATCAAGAAAATAAAATAACGATGAAAAGTATAGAAGTAGGGAAAGGTCAATGACCAGACTCAGTAAGATCCTCACAATAATAGTTTAGAATATCATCACACTCCTATCATTAACATTAATACCGGATATGGAGGAATGAAGCCTTCTCGAACAAGAACGAAGGAAAAACTAAAAGGCAAGTTCAGCATGAAGTATAAACAAAGCAAAGAGAAGGAGAAATTTGACCAAGCACGGTTTAAAACGATGGATAAGAAAGAGAAGATCAAGCATATTAGAGGCCTAGTCCAAGTTTCTAATGAAAGCTCTGAGTTACAGAGTAGCAATAGCAGAAACATAGATCACCCAAGCAACTTCCAAAGCAGTAATTAGTCACTAAATCTTTAGAATTCATGAATTCAGACTTAGACTTAGGACAATCTATGCTGGATGTTGGCACTGATGTGAGGACTTTCAAGGTGCGGAAGCTAAACTTATCGAAACTTCATAAAACTATTGAGTAATAACTATCAATCCACTATTTTCAATATTAAAAAATGTAAAAGGGGTTTTGGGGTTTTGGGGTTTTGGGGTTTTGGGG